CGGGAGGGGAGGGGAACCTTTCTCTACAGGAAATGTCTTTTTGCGGATGGTGGGAAGCGTGGCAGTGAGGCTCAAAGATCTTCTATTGTGCGAGAACCAATCAAAGAAGGCTGTCCACGTGTGCACGAAATTATTGAAAATGCCTGCATAATGTCCGTGCAGAGTTCAAACGCAGTGAGTACAATAGTTTTCCATCTTCACTGTTCATGTAGACGCTAAGAAGTATGAATATTTGCAGGGCTAGTATAAAGGTAAGTTTTTCATAGGTATTTTAGCTATCTTCATAAGGTTTTTATGGGAGAATCAATGTTTACTATCCTCATAGACGGTGGTATAAATATCGATTCGACTCGGTGGGAATGCTAATATAGAGCTCTTGATCGTCGTTTCCATAACATGAAGTACCCTCCTCGTCATCTTGACAAATTCGAACAAAAATCAACGGATCTCGCATCAGTGCAGAGCTACAGTATTCAAATATAATGTTGACAGAGTCTGAGTATTTAATTCTGAAATCACTCGATGAAACTCAAGTTCATAGAATAAACAATTCTGATCGGTATCCCTCCGCACAGGGCCGGGATGTTTTCTTCAATTTGCCAAGCTAGGGAAACGTTAAGACTGCACGTTTTCCACCCGTAAACAAATTAAGTTTTACTGGTTTTCCTGATTATAGAAAAGCATTCTTTTAGAAGGCTAGACACGTTTTTTAGCGTTTAATACTTTATTCAGTAAGTTTTTCCTCTGATCATCAGCAAGACCTCGATATGCATGCAAATCTTATCTGTTATTTTCCAAAAAAGATGAAGTAAATGCTACCATTCGTTAAAAAAATTGGATAACTTTCATATGCAAGGACTGTTCGCGAGGGAAGCTTTCCGGAAGAAAGCAATGCTTGTCAGTGAGCAGATCTTAAATAGATATCAGGAGATGTGCAGTTGGTTTCAATCGATGGGCGAGAATGGCTTCATTTCCTCGCTTTATATCGAATTTCGTGATTGAAAAAGTGTTTTGTAGAGCGAGTTTTTGCCCTGAAAATTATTCTGTCTTCCGCGCGCCGCTGCGAAAAAAGAACTCCTGATCACAGCTTATTCACGTGTGAAATGTACAACTTTGCGGAGGTGAATGCCTATTCACGCAAGCACGTGCCCTTTGTTTCCGGTCGGTAGGCGGTGCTCGTAAATAATTTTAATACCCTTGGAATAACGGCGGTTTTCTTTTCGTTAGGAAGCTCTGATCGAGCTTTCCAATGACTAGAATTAGGCTATTCTTAGTCTTAACGCAGATCGATCGTAAGGAGAAGCTAGGAGGCAAAAAGAAAAATTTCAAAGAATGGAACTTGAACCTTAGACCTTGTTTTTGGTTGTCACGCAGTCACTGTCATTTCGTGACCTGTGGCGCGCGTCATTGTCACGTTGTTTGGCGATAGCAACGGGAGGACCTCAGGATGAACAGCACGTTGAGATCGTTTCTTTTCAAATCGTATTATTAGCCATCTGTTTTCCCCACTGCCTCCTTACTAGGTCTGATAACAGGCTCCAGCAAAAATCATATCTGTTTTACTTTGCAAGTTTCGCAAGTTAAATTCGCGAAAATTAAAAAGCGTACAAGCAAGCTAAGGGCGCTGCTTTCATAGTATGAATTCGCGCTAATTGTTCATGCCTCAACCCACCGAGACAGAATGCGATCTGGATATAGATCGCTTTCCCTGCCATTCTTTGGCCTCTTGTAGTTGTTCAATTAGTTTGGGCGCAGTGCGAAAGACGGCGAGCGAAAAAATAGGCGATATCGCGGCGAGAGAAAGCGGCTTTTTTCTCTCGCGGCTTTCTCTCACCGAGCTTCTCTCCTGTTTTTTCGCTCACCGTTTTTAGCGGTGCGCCCCAACTAACTGAACGCCTAGAAGAGGCTAACCATTTTTCTACGTTTATTTGTCAGAAAATGAAAAAATCAATATAATTTTTTCAAACCTTACATTTTGCTGCGGTCAGGTAATGAGTTACTCGTGTCAGAAATACAAGGAAAAATTGGTGTCGCCGTCCTCCTAAATTAAACATTGGCGTAAGAAACTTCGGACGCATGTTCTCCACGATTTTATTTAGAAATATCGAGTCTAAAACCTATCTCGTCATATTTTGCGTAATTGGGTAGCTCTTGCTGAGACATTTAAAGCCGTTGCACAGGTTAAGGGTGGTTAAAAACAAAAAAAATTCGAGGGTGCGTGGGACCAAATTCTCAAACTCCTTACGCCCAGATCAAACTTCGAACTTCACATGGGACGAACTTATTTGCAATTTGAGTCGATCCAAACGGGTAAAGCTCGACCACTCAGTCAAACGTCGAACCTAATTCGAATTTAGATAGTTGAACTTATCATGAACTTAATTCGCTCAGTTTAGTTCGTCTCATGTGAAGTTCGACGTTTGACCTTGGCCTTAAATGCATGCATATATCTTGTTCATTTTTCGCTAACTTTTGGAAAACGTTAGGAAAGTGATTTATCAAAAAATAGAGTTACCGAATGTCCAAGATCGCTAACTCCAGGCACAGTCGTGCACTACCACTACTGTTGTTCATTTTCGATTATGTCACGCACAATTAATTCTTAAAATCAAACTGCCATGCTTGTTACTTCTCTACAGTCGACGGTGTCGAAGACCCGATGGCTCTTTGGAACCAGGCCTCTTCATTTCAGCGCGGTCAGACGTAGCATGGAGGTTCACCCTTGTCCAGAGCAGTTTAAGCAGGGGGGTGAGGTCCGTCCCGTGGTGGTTTTGTTTGGATGGCTTTTAGCCAAGAGTCGTCATCTGCACAAATATGGCGAGCTGTATCATCAACACGGAGCTGACGTCATCACTGTGAAATTAGAAGTAATGGAGGTAAAGAGACTGTATTCTGTGCACAAAAAGCGAGCAAGCAGGCGAAAAGAAGCTTAGTCCAGTCCCTGAGTTCTCCCTTTTCCCGCCCTGCAGGTGGGAGAAGAGAGAGTCCCAGATAACTTGCATGCGCATGCGTAGAACGAATCAATCAAAAATTGCGCAGGAGCTGCGAGCGAGCCTGCGAACACGGACGGATTTGCGGTATTTTTCGCGGCGTGTAAAATAGGCGGAAATCCGTCTGTGTTCCGCGGGGATTGTAATTCAGTACTACCCTATGAAGAACAAAAGAAAATCAATTTAAAAAGGCATCACATGCTCTATCGCAGGTTACAATATTATACGGGTGCATAAATTGGCTATCACT